AAATTAATGTTGCGCAATATTTCGTAATATTTTCCTATAAGGCATTCTTGTCTAATTTTTAATCTTTTCTCTCCAATTTGTTTGCCGCTTCTTCTATTTTTCATAAATATTAAATTATATACAACTATATCTCAACTATATATCTTTTTAAGAAATATAAAAAGCAAAAAATAAAATAAGCAATTAAGGATTAATTAAAAAATTTCTTTCAAAAAAATCCTTTAAAAAATTTTTTTAAATTGTAGGAGAAATATAAAAGAAAAATATAAAAAGACAAAAATATTATAATTCGATTATAATTTATTAAATCATAATTTATTAAATCAAAACGCCTTTGATTATCAACATTAGTGTGACAATCAGCGATGATAATTAGTTATTTAATAAATACATAAAGAACAAAACGAATCATGTGCCTTTTGACGTTTTGCTGAGAAAAATTTTTGGTTGAAAGTTAACAAACCAGATTTTTCCAATTAATAAGTATTCTCGTTATCTCAATTAACATTATAATAGATTCAATCAGAAAATTCTGGTTTGTTTATTTTCAACTAGAATTTCAATTAATGCAACCACATTCTTTTTCTAGTGTCCGTAATAAAGTTTCTCCTGTATCTTATATCATGAATATACGGATATTATATTCTCATAAGACAGATGTAAGGCATAACTAAGTGATTTCTGACTTACTTGCTGAGCGATTGAAAGACTTCTAACGTTAGTTTCACTCGACAGATCATAGGCCAATCCAAGTGATGACACGGTCTGTCACAGGATAGGAATGTTTGTTCTGAAAAAGAAGGATAGAAAGAGCTAAGAAAAGAAAAAAAATTTTTATACTCAAAGCGAAGAAAGCAATTTTCCTTGCCCCCATCAACCGGAGAAAAAATACAAACCGGCAATCTATAGAGATGAAAGTACAAACTACGAGTACATAGAAAGTGCCATATAGTAAAGAAAAGTTCATGATGCGCATACACATTAGAGTCATTGCGCAGATTAGAAAAAATAAAAATGCACTTTGCATATTATTACGAATTATCGCCAACACATAGCAAAGCTGATCTCTAACATTAAAAACGATTTAAGTCGTTTTTAATTGATATTATAATTTAGTTAATAAAAATTCTAAAATATATTCAATTTCTTACATTATTATAAAAATATATTTTACTTTTTTATTGTTTGAATAGAGAAAATTGAAAGATTATCAAACTTATATGAAGCACAAGCCTAAATATATCGGCGCGTATAATTTTTTACATATTAATTATGTCAACTTACTGGGCCTATAATTGTTAACATGCAAAAACGTGGCCGCAGCGACGATCATAGTAACAACCACCAGACATCGTAAAATATACGTAGTCGGTGTTGTCACATGATGAGGAACAGATTTAGGAGAATACATCGCCAACCAACGTTGTTATCCGACGATAACAAGAGGTGACGGCATTTATTCCTTGTGAGCTTTAAAGATCGACAGATTTTAGATGAACAATTAATTTTTATAAACCATACATGCGTCGATTAAATTACGAAAATTGTGAATATGCTATTAAAGTAGCGAGTGTGTATTTAATAATCAATTGTCAAGATATCATAAGTTTCTGTTAATAAGTAAGAGTCAATTTTTTTAATTAGATTGATGATTTTCTGCTGAAGACTGAGCCAAATGTTGATGTCAAGAATTAGAAAATGGTGGTGGAGAAAACGGCAGTGGACGAAACCAGCTCTGAAAAGAGAAGAGTATCCATTTGTACAGATGAGACCGAAAGTCGAGTCTACCTCGTTGCTTTCCTCGTTCTCGTTAGGCAGACTCCTTCCAGGTCCCGGCTTTAAAACAAACCGTTCATCAATCAACTTTCATGAGACAACTGTGAACGAATTGCAAAGATTACGTTTGAAAAGACAGAATCAACGGATGATTATTTACTGTGACTAATCATATATTTGATTTTATCACGCATTAACTGCTAAAAACTGTTTCAAATTACAAATTCTTCATTCGGTTATAATTGCAAGTTGACAGATCACTGAAAGATTTTGTAACAGATGTATATGTGATGATAAGCGTAACAAATAGCAATCATATTTTCTTGCGCGCAAATATCTCTATTTTATAAATAAATAGAGGAAAGTCAAAAGAGAGTAAGGTCAGGGACGTTTATGCGATTGCTTTCGTTCCCGATTAGGAGGTCATTATCACGTAAAAGTCACGTAAAGGTGTATTACGTAGAAACTAATCTAATCTATTGTATAATATTCATATAACGTGTCGTAATCCGGGCATGCGTCTGACATGCAGAATTACATATCTGAAAGTCCTGATCGAAAGCATTATTCACACTTCACGCACGAATTTCACCACAGAAATCTATTTGCAACACGGGAGCGAATCATTGTAGCGCATAGAGTATAGGACAATATATTATTTAAAAAATTCTGTATAATAAATTATTGAATATATTAATCCGTTAATTAATTTCAACGTTTAGTTTTTTATTTTTATATAAAATTTGTATTTATACAATACAAAATCTAGAAAATAATTCAAATCTGTGTCAAAGATTCTATCCTGTGCGCAATTTAATTTACAACTGTCAATGCACTGCATCGCTGCAGTTTATTTTGTTCCATTTTTTTTTAAGCATTAGCCTTCTACATATGTAGTCTTCCGTTATAAAACGCAAGTCACGTTTACGTCAATAGGTGATCGATACAACATATCCCGCAGTTAATGACTACGCAATACGCGGGAAGTTATCAATCAAAAAGCAACGTATGTCTTTAAATAACGCGATAGAAAAAAATAAACTTAAAAAGAAACATGACGAAAGGTATCCTTAACAATCATGTGTAAAAAAAAATATAACAAGAAGAAGTATATGAGGAAGAATATAGATCTTTATGTCACTGCACCACTGCGGACATTTACGTGGAAACCGACACAACGAAACCGCGGATACAGTCGCACTCCCCGTCGTAGACTGATAGGAACATCGAGACTCCGAAATTCATGACTGGAACGTTTCTCTCCCGCTCCCTTTCGCTATTTCAACGTTCCTCCTCACTTCCTTATTGCTTTATGACTAAAGCTAAGTATGCTTATGTACGCTGTGAGGATTGAGTCTCGCTTACTCGCGTAAAACTATTTAAACCAAATGAACTCGCAAGTGGACTCTAAAAAAAATAATGATCGAAATAGCACTCAAGTTGCAATAAAAATATCCACGATAACTTTACGAACGTTCGCTCTATAAAAATGTCCGACTGCTTGCAAATTATGTTGGTTACTACTAAAGTTTGTTTAGATTCAATTGCATTGAACAATAGTCATCAACAATAGAAAAACATTTTATTACATAAAAATGATTATTAAAGTTGATGATATCAAAACCTTTCCTCTCTCGAATATAAATTGTCTGTTACATTGTTGCAAAAAATCGCTATGACTACGTATGTTTAGTGGCGGATAAGTTAATTGGGATCGATCTGAAATTATTGAAGCGATAAATGACAACGCGGCATCTTTTATTTTATATTTTATATTAATCTCTCCATCTATCTCAGCCGTACATTATTTTACTACTTTGAATTTAATATAACAAATGTCCTCAGCTTTTTTACAAATATCTTGCGAAAATTGTTGGCCATTTTTACGAATAGAGAATAATCTCTCTGAAAATACTGGTCACTTGCTATTTAATTTGTCTCTATATTAGTTGTTTTTATTCGCGATACGTGGTTTAATTTTGTTTTATATGTAAGAAATAATTAATAATAAATTAGTATTAGTTATTTTATCTAAATATAATTATATGAATCGATTTCTAATTAATGTCTTGTAAATGACAGCTCGACGATGAGTTCGAATGGAAGGTGTCGGAACGACATTTGTGACCAGATGTTTTTCTATCAATGGCTAATAAAATCGAAAAATAAAGCGGAATGATGCATAAGGATGATTGGAACAAAATAATTCTCATAAATCACTGCACCACTATCAGTTATCGATACATGAACCCGCCGTGTAACGGCTGATATCGTCGCGCACCCGGTAGTCAACTGACGAGGAGGCCCAATTTCGTTGCTGCGATCGTACAAATCGTGACGTATTATTTTCCCTCTCTCGTCCAGTAGTGGTCCAGGTACTCGAGGACCAAGGATCAGGACCGACCGGTTTTTTACACATATCTCCGCGTACCAACGCCTCGCATTTCCTACGTGGCGTTAAATGTAAGGCGACCTGTATGCCCGAGATATGTGTCAGAGGCTGTGTAACGACGAGTGAAAGTTCGCCAACGGGCCCCCTCTGTGATTGAAGGCCCCTACCATCCCCGACACTATAGACCCCAGGTTCCATCTCCATCGGCTGACTACGCGAACACTTTCATCTCCCGACCTTTCTCCTTCATGCTGGTCCAGCCGGCGTATAGATTTCGCTTTCACTGATGCCCAATCGATTCCACTCTTACTTATGTGGATGGACAGAAACAGTCATCACGCTACTATATGGAAAACAAGTGACGTTTCGCTTTAACAGGATACGCTTAAGCTTGCGTTTCTTCGGTCATTCACTGAGATTGCGACATCCCGTTGCCCGATCGAGCGCACTTTCTAGAGAGAAAGATAATCGGATATTTTAAATGTACCTGTATAACAAACTCAGATGAAATCGATGAATGATTCGGTTGTTCGAGCGGAAATATACCTCACGAAAATTGTTACAACATCGTATCAAAAGAACTATTCAAATTAACACAATACGTACGTAATATAAATATAGTTTTCTTCTTTATGCGCTATTTCAAGATATAAAATCAATATTAAAAAATTTTCTTTTGTAGCAAAGAGAAAGGGGAAAGATGAAAGAGATATATAGATATTGATGTTTATTAAGCTCTGGAAATACAAAATTAAATACAATTGATAAAGCAAAACTTATAAGAAATATATACTGAATTAATAGAAAATAATAACAAAAATTAATTTTAAAAAAAGAAAAGGAGAAAAATAAATTGTGGGTATTAAAATTTATTACCTTTAATGCAATGCCTTTTTTTTCTAAATCTATTTTTCAATCAAATCTTAAATTTTTTTTAACAAGACCGCTTCTTTCTTTAAACAATCGATGAACAATTTTTTTTTAATTAAAAATTATTATAGATGTATAGCAAGCAAAAGAATAAATTGACGAATGATGTAAAGTTAATTAAGATATATTGGTCCATTTAAATTTACAAAGATTAAATAAAATAAAAATTTGTGGAAACGACATAGCTTTGCATTTCTCTCTGCGGAAATGAATTACGGATAACATACAAAACAATAGAGAAAACGATTGTATTTCCTGTCATCGTAACAATTTAAGCATTCTCTCTACATGTTGCAAACAAACATGTCAAAGATAGTAGACAAAAGAAAGATCAGTTTCGAAGACTAATAGTCGTGTGAACCTATAAAGGCACGAGTAGTGCAATGGGTTTTATGTAATAAACCATTAATACACAGAGAACAATTTTGCTGAAGTATCTAAAAATTCAGCTAGATACAGAAAATAATTCTATTGTACCAAAATAACTATATAGGACTCTCAAACATGATGAGCAATGCTGAAAAAAGTTTTGACATTCCAGTTTGAGCGTCCTACATAAATATTTTGATGGTGCAACAAAATTATTTTCATATTTGTATTCAGCTAATTTTTAGATATTTCAGTAAAACTGTCTTCTCTATATGTAAATGAGTCAGAAGTCAGGAGCGTATTATAAGCGAATCAGTAATGTATCATAAGGCAGTAATGAGTCAGTAATCACTGACTGCGTGGAGATAGTTAAATTCCATTTCTTATAATTTAAAATCATTTAAAACTTAGATTATGTTATGACCGATCAATTACAGTTATTATGTGCAGTGTATTGTTTGCTCTGAGAACTATTACCTTTCTAATTGACTGAAGTGTTGTGACGTAACGATCTTATGTGATTTATGCTGGATGTAAGTTTTTTGAGATTTATGATGTAATTCTAATTTATCTCTAGTATATGTTATAAGTGGTAACTAACGGCTTATTGTAGAAAGCTCATTATACTTTGAAATTGATATACTCTAAAATATCTGTCCCCGAATTTAATTTCTTAATAATCTTAATGATATGGAGAATGTTACATGAATAAAAACTTTTTTTACTGCAATAATGGTAGTTAATATTTCACACAATTACGACAATTGGAGAAAACATATCGCAAAATGTGAAATTTCTTTTACGTGTTATTATCTAATGCATATTAGATAACATTAAATTGCATTACATAGATCCATAATGATATTAAGTTATCTAATCGGCATTTTAAAAAACGGTTGTTATTATCACGCGTCATGCAAATATTACTTTCTAATTTTGTAAGTAATAACCGCGTTCTAATGCATCATAAATAATAATTTACGTTATTTCTCTCTCTTATTTGGCATCTCTCTTTTAATTCTATTATATTATATTTCCGTCTTCATTTGTCTATGAAAATGCAGGAAGAGTTAGTAATGCAATTATTCACTGTAACTTAACTGTAATACTGCTTGAATATTGCTCGAAGTGAAATTGCTCAGTCGTGAAATTATCGAAGTCATCAATAAGAGACTGAAGATATTATTTATCACTTGAGAAAGTGAAAGACGTATCCTGAGGCGTATCTTTCTATTGCGCTAATAAAAATTGTATTGTACTGTTCTCTTTTGATAAATTTTTATTTTAATCGTTATGCTAAGCAGCATTTGAGTAAAAATCTCTCAGCCGTAGAAATGTTTTACTTGATGATTTCGTATCTTGCGTTTAACGACAATTTATTTCTTTTTATGAGTCATTAATCAAGATTTCATTTGATGTTAAAAAAGAGATTAATAATTTTAACGTACGTATATATTGTATAATAGAAAATATAATCTCGAATATATATCCAGAGAAAAAGCTATAGCAATAACAACTATAAACATGACGATTATATCAGTTTTATATATAGAATTAATGTGCATAGTTGAATAAACTATTTTATCTTCGCAACTGGGATCTTTAAAGACATCATATTTTGTAGAAGAGTTATTACTAACGGAAAAGTTAAAATTCATTTTGCCAGCAGAGGATTCTAGTTACAATAAATTTATACACTCTATATAAGTATACATTAATTCTATATACAAAGATTGTATAAAGGTTGCAAATATTCTCACATTTTCTGCATTATGTTTAATCTAATGAAAATAAAATATACTACTTTTGTTATTTATCAATTTTCGGAATAAGACTCTCGG